CACAGCTGCATAGAAATGAGAATCCAGATTCCTTGCCCACAGATTGCAAATATCTTCCATGGGGGATGCACACTGTAGGTGGGTTTTCACTGTTATGCTCCAAAAATATCCTAGGAGGGGTAGACAGACATCCTAGTTTCCAAAGCTCCGTATCCTTTAGAATTTGAACATTGGTCACATAAAATTATGTCCCTAACCACCATCTTACCCAGGAAAAGCATAGGTGAAACTGCTGCACAAACAACTCAGATCACACAGTTATCACTGATTGATAAACTGGTTTTTATCTTTAAACCATAAGGAGTTTAAAGAAACTCTGGGCTGAATGGGACTTATTCAGAATGCTGTTTTCTGCAGTCAGCAGAGGCTTATCTTGGATTTATGTTTCTTAGTAAGACTGCATGTTTTGAGAAATGAAAGAAACTTCTTTCATTAGACTCTGTTTTATCATGTTTTCAAAATCCAGCAGGCACTGGCACATGCAGTGTAGGGGCAAATTAAATCAACAACTCCTCTTTTGCGAACCAGGAGGAAGATCATAACAAGTATGCAGAGTCTTTAATTTTTGGAAATTTTTTTATTGATTAAGCCTGTATTTTCAGGTTGTTCTGTATTTTCAGGTTGTTTACACTTTATAAATGTGCTAATTGACAGTACCTGATACAGTAAACTTCCTGGAAATATTGCAATTTTCCAACTTAATTGGACGTTGTGAGTTAACAAGGTCCATTTACAACTTATGCCTTCTTTCTAAAAAAAATATGATGTAAAAAGAGATTTACAGAGGATCACTTATTTTAGTACTTATTTTAGATGAAGCTGCATACCAAACATAAAAAGGAAAAATATCAGGAAGATATGAAGTAGGCAGAGACAAGTTTACTCCATAAAACTCAGACAGAAATCCCATTCTGGTCACCTCCTGAAGTCTGTAAGTGCTTTTCCATAGGGCGCAGATATTGAAATTATCTTGTTACCCTAAAAATACTTCCCTAAATGTAATGCAAAGTGTAGATTAATTTCTTAAATTTAAGTATTTTAGCTGTAATTTCTCATGTGTGGAGAAGGGATGAGAGCCACATTCCCCTTTAATGTTGGAACAGGATCTGGGGGAAGGCACAATAGTATATTTTAGAGGCAGTGGAAGTTAATCCTTTCGTTAGAAATAGGTCAGGAGCCTGGACAGGTGTATTTTCTTTTCTTAATCTCTTAGCACTCCAAGATCCTCTGCGTGCTGCACTAGGCAAAATGACTTGCTCCTGGATATACCACTCAAGCACAGCTCTTTATTTATCCTCTTTATCTCCTTTTACTGATACAGTTTTGAAGCATGGCTGACCTTTTCTCTGCCCCTGCTTTGCCCTCTAAAATCTCTTCATTCAATCCTTGTCATTCGTTTTCCACTCCTGATCTCTCCACATCAGAACTGTAGTTCAGTTCAAGATAATCCTCTGTGCTGGATTAGAGAACATCCCAAGCAATGCTTTGACAAAGGGAAAACAAAATTTCTACCATTATAGACACAGGAAAATAAGTTTGCCACAAGAATTGGATGTTTAAGCAAGTACCAATAAGGAAAAATGACATTCATATCTAAAGGTTGGCTCCAAAGTACTTAATGTTAATTTATCAAACTGACAGATATGAAAGTGCTGCCCATCACAAAATGTGAAAAAATAGTGTGTTTCCTAATTATGGCTGTAGTCTGCCCTCACTCTGTGTCTATCAATAATATAAAACCAGCATTTAATATTTTGAAAATTTCTATACGGCAAAAGCAGGTCAATAAACCAACTGTAACAACAAATCAGCTGATCAGGACCCTAAACCTCTTGGAAAAAGAGTTTCATCTCTAGTTCTGGGAGCTCCTGAGCCTTTCATGGCTCAGTCTCAGGTCAGAAGGGGCATGAAGCACTAAGAGGCTGTGTGGGAGCAGTACAGCCCACACCCCACCAGAGGGTGGAAAAGGGATTTGAGACTCAGCTGGAGCACTGCCCTGTAACTTCATGGGATGGTCCTACAGCTGCACAGGCAGAGCAAACTCTCCTGGCAAACAGAAGGTCAGCTTTGTGCAACCCCTTCAGCTTCAGGCCAACTGCAAAGCAGCAAACTAATGAACCTGCAGCTCTGTAGCCAGGAGCAACCTTGCTGGAATGACTGCTTCAATTTTAGCAGTACTTGAAGCACATGCACCTAGTGACACAAAGTGCTTGCTCCTGAACTCCACAAGAGTAATCTGTTGGACTGTAAAACACAGTTTGTAAATGTGATTTTAACAACAAGGAAAATACTTTCAGTGCATAATTAATTGCCTTTCTGAGTAAAAGTGGTGATGATACTTATTCTTCCAAGACCTCAAGTCTTGCTTTTGCAAGAAAGTAAAGGAGGAAATAGTTATTAAAATAAACATTCTTAAATCAAAGGAATGCTTCTTCACTTTACCCTGAGGATGCTCCCAGTGAGAGAACTTCCTGGGTGCTGCTCCTTCTAAAAATGTCTGGCACTACACGATGCTCCCTTTTTTGACTTATTTTGACCATTTTGAATTTTTAGAATTGCTTTGCAATTACAACATTAACATTACTCTGTGCCTGCATGCCTTCATAACATCATTCTACTCCACATGGGGATCCAGGAGCTGGTAACAAGTGCACTGCCTCTGAAACAAGGGACACTGGAACCAGAGCACAGTATTTCACTCAATTAACATATTGCTGCTATGAGGAGTACCCACCAAGGTGTTAGCATGGTGCTATGCAGGTTCACATTTTGATAGTGATGTACCATATATTTTGGACATTGCACTTCCTGTATCCATTTGATATTTTCCTACCATTGGTGTGCTTTCTACCCTTGATTGTGAATTTCAATAAAAGGATTTGTGTTATTTAAAGATAGAAAGTACCTCAGGAGAGTTTCCCTGTTCTACCAAATGCTTTATTCTGATGCTGTATTCTGAATGGATGCCAGTGAGTGCTGAGTAAAAGGGGATAATAATTTCCTTCAATCTACTGGCTCTGCTTCTGTTAATAAAGCTCAAATTACTTCAGCCAAATAAATATTAAGTAGCGAAAATAACCTCTAGAAAGAGTCAATAATTTTTAGATTATTTTAATTACTGATGACAGATGATGTAATTTTCAGGATATTTTTTTCTACAGTTTTGTAACAGAATTTATATAGGAAGGGTATTTTCTTGTCTTTTCTATCACTGTCTACAGCAAATGTAATTTTTTGTTCACTGTTCTTGTAAACTTGGGATTTGGTACTTTTGGGGATTACTGAAATTCAATGCAGCCATTGTTTGATTAAATTCTCTTGTCACTTCCACAGCAGGCTGTCATTTCCCTTTACTATTGGAGATGTTCAGCTGAACATCAAAAATGACTACTTACACAGTTACTTGTAGAGAAAGAAAAGTACTGAAAGAACATGTTGGAGGGTAGGAGGCAAAGCAAGACCTTGAACCTGGGTCTGTATTCTTCAAGAGACTATTCCAGTCACAGAATTTTTGGTTGATTGAGCATTTTCTTTTTCTCTTCCTCTCCCCTTTCCCTCTCCAACTGCCCCAACCAGAAATTCTCTCTAGAAAATATTTTTCTTGAAAAAAATCATGACTGACTTAACTGATTAACATGTATGTAGCACAATTGATTATTTTTTTCTTTTCTGATCTTCTGCAAAGAGCTTCCAATTCTTTGGCTATTACACTCAGTAATATGAAAACTCAGAGTCCCAAGAGGCTAATTAGTTATGATTTTGTTACAGTATTAATTCCAGAAACCATGGAATTTTAAAATTCAGCTGAGGTAGCATGAAAAGCAACTCTTTTAATAACTGCATGATCATGAAATACTGCAAAAAAGTTTTCTGAGGTAACTTGCTATTGTGAGATAAGTTTTTCCCAGTACTCTCTTAGCTGCTTTTCAGGTATGAATTTAGAAGTGTGATATTTGGCCTTGAAGTTGAAATTGTGATTTTATTTTGCCAGGAACCAGTTTTAGGCAAAAGAACAGTTCCTTCAAAACATATTTTAATTTAGGGAAAGCATTGTATTAGGCTTCAACTTGCAAAATGATAAGTGTTCTCACTTCTCTTGGTTTTTCAGTTGTGGTTAACATTACATGGTGGAGCATCTCTCAATATAAAGCCTTTTTTGCTTCCATCTTCCAGAGGGCTCAATTGCATTAAATGTCATGGAAATACCTAAAGGTGTCCCTGTGGCTCCAGCTGCCACTACCTGGGTTTGAGTCTTCTGTAGGTCCTATGTCACACCTATCTGACCTCTCCGTAGATGTACCCAGGACGGCTCAAGTGGCACCAGATGTCTTTATTAAAGCGATAAAAATGATCCACAGAAAAAATTAGTTTTCTGAACAGAAAGTAAGCTATAATTATTAAGGGCAGATCTTGCCACCTGAGTACTACTGAGTACAGAGAGATACACCTATCCCCCATACTCAGCTGTAATTTTTATGCTGTCTGTACTCCACCCAGTTAAGTCAGCCTCTCTGCAGCTTCATCTAACAAGTTCTCCCAACTTCTAGTTGCTTCTGCAGTCCCATAATTGGATAGCTGTTGTCATAGGGTTTGCTATGATCTAAGCTTTTTTCAACTTGCTGAACTTCATTTTGATTATTAAAAAAAGGTCTAATTCAGTTGCGTGTAGGAGAATAATTTATTCACATAACCCTACTTGTTACTTACAGTGTCCCTTTGAGACATAGTGGCAGAGAAAATCTACTTAGAATCCTCTATTACTCAGATTGTCAAACAAGTGTGGGAAGCACAGGGCTCGAGAGGCCAGAATAACCTTTGGTTTTGTTGAAGACAAAACAAGCAGTGCCTCTGAATAAACACTGAGAGCATCTGCAGTTAAAATCTCTGCAGTGATAAATTATTAGCAGATAGGTATAAATTAACTATTGGCGGTTTAAATTTTTTTTTTTTATTTGGGGCAAACTCAGAGAAATATGAACTGAAAACCATGATTTACTCACTTATTGTGGAGCCAGACTCGGGCCTGTTGAGGGAGCTGATGATGACGAAGCCGAAGCCTTCGTTCTCCTTGCGGTGGATGACCACGTCGCTGGTTTGCAGGCTGTGCGACGCGAAGCCCTCGGGGGGAGTGGCGCTGCTGCCGGAGGCCGCGTGGTTGCTGTTGGCATAGGTCGTGTAGTCACTTCTTGGAGAGCTGTGGTGTGTAGACACCGAGCCTGGGCTTCTGCCATTCTCTGGGCAGGGTTCTCCTACAACATAAATCACACCAGTGTCACAGGTGGATTCGCTCAGTGGCTCTATGACTTACGGTACATTTGATAATGCAACGCGAACACAGCTGGCTGTCTACAGACCAGACTACCCGAATATTAAACTAGGAGCTGTAATAGATTCAGGGAGACAGGAATCTACACAGTTATGCAGAACATTCAAGGGCAATCAGATAAAGCAAGCATGAACACTGACTGCTAGGCTAGCTACAAGAGAGGAAAGTAAGAAACAGTGTCTATCTGGATTGGAAAAAGATTACCAAGCGCTATTCCCTTGTCTGCTCGTAGGTCTGTCATCAAGAGGAAAATGTGACCGTCTAATTCAATAAAAAATTATTTGTGTTTGGATTACAAGAATTTAAGCAGGGAGCTAACAGAGTAATTAGGATTAGCTGCATAATGTTCTTCTTACAAGTTGATTAGCTTGTTCAAAAAATGTTCAAAGAGCAGAGCTGTTATACAACGAAAAATCACCACAAGCAGTTTTTCTGTGGGTGTCATGGCAGAAGCAGTGGTCATTTAAAGGTTTTGAGATGCTCTTGTTTAGCAAGTTCAAAAGGACAGAAGTGAAAACTGAGTCCATGTACACTTTAGTATTGCTTTATAGTAACAAGAACAGGAAACAAGTTACAACTTGTGGGATTATACATTTTTAGTGTGAGCCTTTTGGCAATTGAAAACAGCAAATTTATAGTTCCAGATGGAAAAAAAAAGATTTATATTCTTTGTAGATCTAAGTTGTTTACACAAATCAGCATTTATTGACAGTTTTAATACAGAAACTTCAGATAAATGTATTATGTTGTCTGTTTGGAACAACAAAAGTGGCAGAGTAATTTTACTGAACACGTGAGGAGCTCCCACATATACACATACATCCTAGGTAGAGAGTTTGCAAATTAGATCTCCAGTGTGTGTATATATTAATAAAATAAACAGCATCCAAGGACAAGCTGTTGTTTTCTCAGTCAGGTGTGTCCTTTAGCAGTCCTTCTGCAACTATGAAATAAAGTAATTAAAGAGTATAAAGAGGAAGAAAAACAAACAATTATTATACCTCCTGAAAATCTCTAAGAGTTATTGAACCAAATCTGCAACTAAATGACAAAGTCAGTGACAAGAGAGTTCTCATTTTCTGGCTGTCGTGTTTCAGAAAGTTGAATATTGTTTATGTCAGTAGGGCTGCAACAGAAAGGAAATTCTCTTACTCTGTAGAATAACCAAGACCTGACTTGGCCATGAAAGAATGCAATTGAATGCCACTAAATATAGGAAAAGAATGATAAAGGAATGGCTTTAATGGCTATTTGACTGTCAACTGTGCAATAGATACTCATCAGGAAAAAATACATTTTGCTCCTGCCTGTGAAAAAATGGCATTTCAATCCAAAAATCACATTTTCCTAATCAAATTGTTTTCCAGATCTTGTGATTTGTGATTTTCTGTTCCAGATCTGGGTAAGTATATGTACAAAATGGTAATTCCAGGTGAGGGCTAAGATACATTTATCAGCTACAGACAGTTAAGGAAAACTCCCAGATCCCTCTGTTGTATACATTCATGCTAGTGAGAAGTTCCCATGAGATCAATTGGCCTGATGTATTAGCATGGCATTTTTTCAGTCACACCCAACATAAATTGTTTTAAATTTTTTCACAAAGCTTATGCTGTAACACACCACATTAAAATCCTGTTCAGCTCCTGAAACGCTTAAACATTAATGACCGATATGCCACATTCCCTCGAGTGGCACTCTCAAGGCCCAAGAATAACTCCAGGTGTTTTACCAGCTTGCTTACTGTCGGCACCAGGAGCCCAGAGTGGCTAGTAGAGCCTTTAATATTGAAAGAGCAGCAGCGAAGGCCGGCACCCGCTGTGTGCCAGCTTTGCCTGCCGTGCGTGCGGCGGATGACGCGGGAGCGGTGCTGGCGGCGAGGGCTTGGCGTTATTACCTTGGTTATTGGCCATTTTCCTCGCGCTGGGGGAGCTGCGAGGGGGCGTCGCACCGGGCGCGGGGGCACCTTTCTGGCTGGAGGACTCTGGAGTCAGTAACAGAAGAAAGTCAGTCCTGCAGGAGCACGGCTGGCAGGGAGCTGCGGTGCCGCAGTGGGAGGGGGACTGCGAAGACGAAGGTGAGTGGGAGGGCGGCTTTTTGGCACAGGAGCGAAGGGGAACGGCGCAGGCAGTGACAGTGGATCTAGGGCACGGGCAGGCAGAAGACAGGACAGGCTGGGAATGTGGTTTTGCTCATTTCTGGTACCTCAGACAAGTGTACTCACCAAAAATGTTCTAGAAGTTCTTAAATAAACTTCTTTCCTCAAGTAAGCAATGGTTCTAATGGAAGGTCATCAAATTCTCCCATTAAAGCTTTAATAGATACTGCCACACGCAATTTTTAAGGTTCCAACATTTTTCGGCAATTGAGACTGAGCTAGTTTAAACATCTAATTTACTACAAATATTTCATAGTTGTTTAGGTTCATTTTCTGAATGCGTCTGCTTGACAGAAGAATTCGTCCCTCATGCCCTACAGAAGATTTTCCGCCAGCTTGCATTGCAGTTCAGTGGGAAATTCCAGATGACATCAGTGAGACCAGAAATGGGCTTTTAACACATATAAGAGTGAAATGAGTTCCTGCCCTAAAACAGTTAACAGTCTTTGAGCCTTTCTCTTACTGACATAGTCAGCTCAAATGGCTTTAACTTAGGTGAATGTTCAGTCCCAAAAGGGGACAAAAGGAGACAGCACAGACCAAGACAGCATGGAACAAACCCAGAGCACTTATGATGATCACACCAGGGTTGCCAGTATGTTTCCACTTCTGAAGGAAACAACACTCAGTTGTAGTATTTTTGTCAGAGCAACAAGGGACACATATTTACAATAATTCTTTCCTCAAAATGACACAAACATTCACTTTGATTTCCTCTATTTCTTTTTTAAACAGCACCGGTTTGTGCTGCCAGCACTGGGATCTGTTTTTCCTTTCATCTTTCCCAGCCTTCACTCACCTGTGGGTAGCACCTTTCTCCTCACAGTAAGATTCACCTGCCCGTTTCGGGCAGCATTATGCATAAGATCAATCACATATCGGTGGGTTTTGCCGGCCACTGGGATCCCATCTACGTACACCAGCTCATCCCCAGGATGGAGACGACCATCTCGGTCTGCGGAGCCCATGGCAATTACTGCTCCGATGAGAATCTAGGCAGCAAAGAAACAAAATCCTGTCATACATTACACCGAGCCTCCAATTTAGTGACATGAATATTGCAGTGATTTTCTCTTTCTTCTGAAATTGAGCTAGTGATTTAGCACAGGTGAAGAGGTCTATGTGTGACTGAAAGCTGTGCTTGTTCTCTCAAGGGTATGACTGAGGATGCTTCCTCGCCTTTGGTAAGAAGGTAAGGTGTTTTCTACCTGCACAGGAGAGATACACCAGAGATTTCTAATCTGAGTTCTGCTTGATATGTCCAAATCAAGATAATCTGTTTCTAAGGAGCGTTGAGTTTCTACAGACTAAGTTATAACTAAGACTTAAAAAGATTAGTTCCATGTAAGGATCTTATTTAAAGATCCTTTAAATATAGATCTTATCTTTAATTTAAAATTATCAAGTCTGTGTATTTCTTGTTGAAGTTTCTTCATTGCTGTGTGATTTAAGCACTTGGAGTTGTATACCTGAGGTGAGCAGTGGAAGTGACCCCACTACACAGACTTTGCTTTGGGACTCTGTAGGGGAAAAGAAGTACTATATTAAATGTTATTACTCCTAACGAATGATTGCTCAGGCAGTGCTTGGTTAAAATGGAAAAAAGAGGAAAAAATGTCAGCTTGTTCTGGGCAGATGTTGTTTTCCCAAATCAACATTTAGATGTAGTTTGTATGGGACATATAAACTAGTAAAACATCTGTCCAAAACCTTGTAATGACTTTCTCCACCTTCTATGCAGATAATTTCACATAATTTCTTGGAAGAAGATGTATATATTTTCCCCATGGAATAACTGGTAGAATAATTTGAGATTGATTCAAACAAAACCTGCGTTCTTTGAAAGAATATTAAAGTATTCACAGACAGTGTTTCAAATTTTCCGTTCTCTTTTTCAGTCTGAGAGTGAGTGCAAAATGATGGATATGACATGCCATGTGACAATGTGCTTTAAATAATAAAATATAAAAGTTGTGAAGCATTGCTTTTCATCATGAATTGCAAAGGCTACATGTGGTAGTCACACAGGTGGGCCTGTGGTTTTTTTTTGGTCTTAGCTGCAGAGTTGCAAGTATCTCAGCATAGTGTTTAAATGAAATCCCCTGTGGAGCCTGGAGAATTTTCCCCAGTTTTCCACCTCCCTTTGGCTTACTTTTGCTTTCAAAACTTAGCAAAGAGAGAACATGATGCGGCTTTTTCCTGCTTTCTGGTGTTCCTGGTCTCCTGTTAAACAGTGCCAAGCAGAGTGGTTAGAGAGGCTGTTTCAGGTTCTCCATTCTGCTCTTCAAATGGTGAAAAAATATTAAAAAAGATTTGGAAAATACTTTGTGCAAAATTCAACCATGAAATATGAATTTATGCTCCTTTACTGGAAAGAAGAAAAACTCTCCGAGGCTACATTTAGCTAGATATCCACAAAGCAGTCTCAAAACATCTGAGAATTAGGCATCTCACATGAGTAAGAATTTCTTCCTAGTTATTTTGAGAAGATATCTCCCTCTGCAGCTTGGAAGATTGTAGGGATTGGCTTCCTCCTTTGGTTTTGTTGAACATTTGCAGTTTTTTCATAGTTTTCTGACAAAATATTAAACAATTTGAGAACCTTTAACCCTTGTATAAACAAAATGCAGATCATAGCATGGTAGATCATCAGTATACACAGGCAAGTAGAAAAACTCTTTTTAGTCCTAAGTAATTACTGCTGATATTTCACATGTTCACCACGTAATGTGATTGTGTTACTCATCTCAGTGTCAGATTCCTAAATAAGCAGCAGATACTTCATACGTTAAACACTTCAGCTAGGTGTGTTTGTCAAGATGATGCCTACCATATCTATTATTTGGTATATTTAATAGCAAGAATAACTTAATTTTCCTACTTTTTATTTTCTGTGTCTAAGAATTTATTTCTTATGCAGTATCTGCTCTTGTTTCATGGCTGAGAAGTTGCCATAATAGTTATCAATTCTACATGTAAAGCACAAATCGGAAAAATATATATCAGGACTATATTACCTCTGAAATGCAGTTTCATACTGGCATGAGATTGCTTTGAATGCATGAGGAGAAGGATGATGGCATGTAAGCAATAAAGAGTGTGTTGTAGAATAAAAAGAAAAGTTTCTCCTATTGTTTGAGATTAAACAGGACAAATTCTGGGATTAGGATGATTGTGGCAAAACCTAATGCGAAATTAAAGCCTGTGTCTATTAATTTATACAGGTTAATCTGCTTTGATACTGACTTTCTTTGTGATTCTTGGTAATCATCTGAATTTGTATTTTACTTTCTCTGAATATAACACAGTAGCCTCACAGGCACATAGAAAAATTCAAGTATATACACAAAAAGGGTGATTCACTAATTTTAAGTGTCAGTGATGTCTAAATCTAAGATAATTACCTGAACTCTGTCTAATCACTGTTGAAATAGGGCTTCCCAAGGCATGGCCTTGTCCTAACATTTTGCTCTATGGACATCTATGCCTTAGAAATGTAGAAAGATACTTAGATTATATCTTGACACTGATAATAAAAAAAATACAAACATATATCTTGAGGATATTTTTGAGAAAAATCCCAGTGTGTCCATGCTGAAAAGGTAAAACTCTTAGAGAAATCATGTATATGTTCCTGTGATACTGAATTTGAGCTGCACAGATGGATGCAAAATAGATCTCCCCTCTGGGACAGCAATTTGCAACTTCAGTAAAGTTCCAATTTCTGTGTTTTTGCAACATTTCAGTAATATTATAATTCACCATAACAGAGTCAGATTATCCCTAAATCCTCAAGTTACTGGGAGATGTGATAAATAGCTGTTGTAGTGCAATATTATAAGATTTAAGAGTTGATTTGAACTGGTACAACTAACAGTCTTGAGATCTGAAATTTCTCAATAAATTTAAGTATTTCCTTTAAAAGCATTTTTATGCTTACAAATATTAAAAGTGGAGTAGCACACCAGCATTTTCTCCTTCTAAGGTGCCAGGTAGCTGATATAACTAGAAGGAAACTAAGCTACAGTCCCTCTATAGTGTCAGTATTATCCTTCTAAAATAACTTTATTTGGATTCTCCTTCTTTGAAAAATTATTGCCTTATGGTGAAGAATTCATATTCCTTTTTAGAAATCAAACCACAAAGACAAAACCTTCCTTTTGTTCTGTGTTACCTGACTACAGTCCCTCTATAGTGTCAGTATTATCCTTCTAAAATAACTTTATTTGGATTCTCCTTCTTTGAAAAATTATTGCCTTATGGTGAAGAATTCATATTCCTTTTTAGAAATCAAACCACAAAGACAAAACCTTCCTTTTGTTCTGTGTTACCTGACTACAGTCCCTCTATAGTGTCAGTATTATCCTTCTAAAATAACTTTATTTGGATTCTCCTTCTTTGAAAAATTATTGCCTTATGGTGAAGAATTCATATTCCTTTTTAGAAATCAAATCACAAAGACAAAACCTTCCTTTTGTTCTGTGTTACCTGACTGCACAGCAGGAGAGCTGAAATAAAATTTTCAAAGCATCTCAGTTCTTGTTTCATAGGAAAAGCAGGGGTCTGGAGAACAGGCAAAAACCGCTTCTGCTTTTCTGGAGGTGAAAGAAATGGGAGGCTGCAGGTGGGCTGTCCATGGGGGGGCAGGAAAGCAGTGATGGAGAGAGAATAGAGTTAAGAAGTCTTGTACTTTGAATATGAAATAGAAGAACGCCCAAAAGAGTACATCTGTTGTGTTTATTGGTGTTAAATTTGAGCAGTGAAAACAAGATGGGCAACCACAAGGGAGTGAGAATTGAAAACCTCAGCACTGCAACACTTAATTCTAGGAAGGTGTCTTTTTGCCTTGTACAATCCTCAGCTTCAAGTTAGGCTCTTTTTAACTCCTGGGGACTTTGAGAAATATTTGAAAAGACACATAAAGCCCATTGGATTGATAAGTCTTGGGGAAAAATACTTTTGTATGTGCAAATGGAATAGAGATAGCAACCTTGAGGCTAAGGGCAGGCTGAGAGCAATTGTTCTACAGGACAGTGAAATGTGTTAGAGGGTGGTTCACAAAGGGCAGTGTTTTTTGGTTCTGCTCTCCAAAAATAGCAAGGGGCTTATCTCTGCCCTTGATATCCAGCTATGGCTCTTTGACTTCAGACAGTAAAGTCAGGTCAGTCCTCTGCTGAAGAGACACTAGAAAGAGCTGATCCTCTGTAATACTTCAGTGCATAATGCATGTAGCTACAGGGCAAAAGGCTTGCTTCAAAATTTCTTTTCTACTGGACTGCTGAGCAGACTGAGAGACTCGAGTCTCTCACAACTCCAGTATGTATTATGGATATGAACTACCAGAATATCAGATATTCTCCATGAGTTTTCTCTTAGTCCTATGGGTTGAAATAACTCAGTTTTATATAAATAATCATCTTTGAGATGAGGCGTTTGAGCCACATGAGATTGTCATAAACCTCCAACAAGCAGAGCCAGTCAGATGCCTAGTCTGTGACTGCTTAATTATCCATTTGTAATGAAAAAAAGCACTAAAGGAGACACCAAGAGAGCCTCTCACATAATATTGAGCAGCCCTGTAGCCAGGGACACTTTCCTGGGAGACAGTAAATGCCATTAGACATCACTGTCCAGAGCAGGTAGAAGTAGATTTCCAAGAAATCTAGATTTCCTAGAACATAGAATGGTTTGGGTTGGAAAGGACATTAAAAATCATCTAACTCTGATCTCCCTGCCATGCCATGGGCAGACACCTTCCACTACACCATGCTGCTCAAAGCTCCACCCAACCTGGTCTTAAAGGTAGTGCCTTTCTAGTGCCATTTCCTAACAGTCTAAAAAGATACAATTTCCACTAACACCTCACAGATTTCCTTTTTGGCTTCACCCAGTATGTGTGCTTTGAGAACTTATACTGGCTGGCCCGTCCAGAAGGGACAGGAAAAATGCTCAGTTGGAGAATGTATAGATGATGGCTCAGTGGCCTCATTTTATGTGCACTGGGACATGCTCCACAGAAGGAAGTCACACATCAGAGGGGCTTCAGGCACACTGCAAGTGTTGAGGATGAAGCAGTGTTGTCTTGGAGTTCTTCTGAGCAGCTATACTTTATATTTGAAAAACCATTGAAATCACTTATTCTAAACTAGACTGAATTTCAAACAGCACTTGAAGCATCTTTTTTAGAATACACTGCATTCTTTTCTTTTTATGGGAGACATCAGTAAACTGTTAAGATTTATTAGTACTTTGACAGATGTTGACAATTTCAAAAATATAAGAGCTTTGTTTCTCAAAGCCATGTGCTGGTTAACCTCAAGGCTTGAATGAAAAATGTACTATTTTGTATTATTTTTAATATGGAATATATAAATTATCGACTAGGGAATATAAAAATCTAATAATTAATTATACATTACCTCAGAAATGTGGTAACAAAAGACTCAGACTGCTTAAAATTATGATAGGAAAGCACTATCGTTATTGACTTGAGATTAATTCTAGCTGTCAGACTATAGTTACACCATTGAATTTTTCTGGAAGAGTACTAATTCTGCCTGCTCTCAAAACTATAGTATTTAGATAGATCAGTAATTTATAAAAATATTTACACATTTGTGGTATGTCATGCACATTGGACCCTTATTTTTGGGCTTCTATACTGTTTCTTTTAAATATTGTACATATGATATATTTTATATTATATTTTATTAGCAAACCATCTATGTTCATTTTGTTATGCCTATTGCCTCACATGATGTCATTTAACTTGGACTATCGCTTCCTGGTAAGGTCTTCTGTTTCTGGAAATAAACTGCAGTGCTGACTGTGTCTTAACCACAAGCATACATTTTGCATACAAGTTGTCTACTCTGAACATGGTTATGGATAGTCTTACATAATTGGATTTTTGGAATCTTCTGCTTAAACTTTATTTTGAAAAGTCCAGATTAGGAGATGCCAGGTCACACTCCACAGTAATGGGATGAATGATATTGTTTCCACCTTTATGCCTTCTTATTCTAACTTAATTCTCAGATGTGAAAAACCTGAGAGTTCTGGGTTTTTTTGTGGATGAATAAAAGTAATTTTACTTGTAGCCTTAACATGGTGTTCATTTGGGTTCAGTTGTGTAGTAATATTTTTCTGACCTTTACAGAGATTATAGAATGTGGAAGGAAAAGTAAAATCAGGAAGAAATAACTCACAGGCTGCCCAGGCTCATCTCCTCCCAGGATCCTGAAGCCAAACCCAGACTCCATTCTCCGAAGGTGAACATCCAGCTCCTTGTAATCGGGACCTGGTTTAAAGAGAAATCCCATTGAGCAAAGCATTTTGGTCTTATCTTGAGAATTTGCACCAACCCCTCCCACCTGGTGTTTATTGCACGTGACTAATGGCATCCTGGCTGGAGCTGGTGGAAACAAATGGGCCACACACAAGGAGGAGAACTGAAAATGTCTCTTAGAGGGTGGTTATGTTCAGTAGAATACACTAAACCAAACTAGAATACATTCACAGAAGAACAATATGGAAAAGTCTGTCCAAAACAGAGGTTAAAAATGTGTCTTCTTCTTAAAACTGACTGTATGGATTAATGTTCATCCACCTCTGGTCTTTGTCTTTTCCTTGCAGTTCATTAAATCCTACAAAGAATAAACTGAAATGGGAGACAGATACACCAGTCCAACTCACAAAATATGAAAATTACTACATGCCATTTACGTTCCAAATACAGACATATATATATGTATATATATATATATATATGTCTTTTTATATAATGTAGCTTTAAAGTATTTCATTTCCAAGTAATACCCTCAATAAGGAGTTTTGATGAAAATGATCATTATAAACCTCTCAGTCTCAGAGTTTAAATTGAAAGCTAACATTCATTAACTTGAACTCCTCAATGCTACTCAATTAAAGTCTCAACAGCTTTGTGAATCAATAAGGTTGCATTTCCATATGGCTGCCTAACCCGTCTTTAGACATATATTATGCCCTGTAATAGATCAGTTGAGGAATATAGAGTATTTTAAAAGTTAGTTTCTTATTAAAGTGTCTTTAGCTTCACTTGAAAGAACACAGTGTTCTGGGATAATAATAATAATATTAATAATATTAATAGTAATTTCAAATATTATAAAGTGAAACCATAAGCATTTAGAAGACTAAGAAGTTGTCTCTTGTGACTATCACTGTCTGCATGCTGGAGATGCTTTAGACTCATCACCTAAAGCAGTGATTGACAGGAGTGGTCTTTCTGGCCTATACATTGTGACACAAAAGCTTTTGGTCAGTGTCAGCTTGCTGCTGACCCCAACAGAAAAAAGGGATGACAAAGTTTATTTCAGCAAACTGCTCATAAGTGCCTCCAGTTGTGCCTTGTTCCCTTAGGATGCGAGGAATTACAGATGGCTGAAATATGGTACCTCAGCAGCTCTCACTTACAGATCTCCCCTCAGAGCCATCAGTGGGCACCTCATAAACTGTGGAATTTGGCAAATGCCATGTGTAGTGTGGGATTAAAGCCTGATTCGTTTCAGGTATTATTGCAAAGACACATGTAGAACGACATGCACTGGCTCTATACTATGACTGTGCAATAAAAAATCCTCTGTAAACAGCAGCACAGTGCATTATTTCAACAATCAGTATTGGTGAAAGTGAGACTGAATCACAAATGTTTCAATTGGTAAAAGAAAAGTATTACCTTTTCCTACCAAGTTTCTTCTCATATATTGAGAAGACAAATCCAAACAGAACCAAGCAGCTTATTATACCATCTTTTTCCATTTATTTGATACGTCTCAACACTAAGGAGCAAATGAATTCTGTGTGTGTACAGTATGTTAGCTTAATACAAATCATTTAAAAGTTGTGAGAGGCAAAGGAATTTCAGATGAAAGCAGTACTTTACCTGGTTTGCTGTGCCTACAAGGACAGGGCTTAGTACCAGAGAGATGCTTTTGTAGATAGACACCATTGGTAACCCAGGTTTAACACTCAAAGGCACTGTCTCCAGCACACTGTCACAACACGAGCACTGCCTTTATTGTGTACAAGTGAATGAATATACACAGTTGGGAATACAATAAGAAAATCAAAGAATGCTAAGTTGTGAAGAATACTTGCTCTGGCAAACTGAGATGAAAATGTTGCTCAGATACATAGACAAAGCTGAGCCAAACCAGTGTTGGCAACAGACTCTAAAATCAGAGGCATTATTTATTTGTTAAAAGATGCTGTTTTTCTACCCCATTTAGAGTGGAATAGACAAACCAGCTTGACCATGAAAAGCTTTAGGCTAAAAAATGCTGTATAGGGGCATACTTTCCTATGAGTTCTAACACAGTTTGGAAGCCTTTGGATCAATTGAGTGGGCTACAAATGCTCCTTCCCAAAGACTTGGAAATCTGTGGAGCCCATTGTCTGCCAACAGGCCACTGAAAACTGCTTTTAAAAAATAATGTTCTTTTCTATCCCACTAGGGGAGTAAAACACTGGAAAGGATCCCTGGGTCATCAAGTCTAGCTTCCTGTTATTAAAAACCTCTGCAAGCAAACAGCACACAGACCTTACCAGTAAAGACACAGGCAAAGAAGACCCTGGCAACTGAGCTTGTTTGTGGCCTTTGTCACTAGGTCACCCACCTTGCAGTAATATCAAAGTACCAAAATATCCAAGTATCTCCAGTGACTGACTGGTACACAAACCTGCATGCTGTTTCAGCTTTCATGGTGGGTGTGATATGACTGCACTGATCATCTTTCCACTGCTCTGGAGACAGCTACACCATAGGTTCCTGAACTTACATCTCTGAAAGTGGACCTGACTTCTAACCCTGGTTTATGTGCTTAACTGATGCATGAAATAAGACAGAAGACCTATTGCAAGGCTCTCCAATAATATTCATCTTTCAGTCCAGATTCTTCTAGTAGAATTGCTTAGCTGCTTTCTAGCCATTTGTCTTTACATTTCATGCTAAGCACTGTCTTTTCCAGGCTAACATGGAAGTATTACAATTATAACTGGCATTTTGGAAAATGGAAAGTATAGATTAATTAAACACATACCACTTGTTCGGTGTAAAAAAATCAGTTACCAGGTTAGTCTGTCCAACCAACTTTTGCTAAACTCCCTTTGCATAGTTCTCATTTATCTCTATATTGGCAGTTAGTCTTTGATCAGAAACATGTTCTAAAGCCTTGCTGCTGCTGAGATCCTTTTTTCCTTGTTTTTGAAAAACAAGTAAGTTGTTCACTAATTTGTGCTTTTTCATAGGAGCACATTTGATAGATTTACTAAAATCCCCTATGATTTTGTGGCAGCAGTTTCAATATTCCTGAATATACATTGATTAAGTATTCTTACCCATTTAAATGATTACATTTCATCTGATATTCCTCTAGTGCTTGCTTCTCCAGGACTCTTGTACTTTTTGTTCCTCACAAAGGATTTTCAGATAGACTAAATTTTGTGTTTTCTTACTGGAACAGATTTTCAGCTGATCATGCAGAGAAAATTACCTGTACTTACAGAAAATGACACTCCTGTGCCTTGCAATATACTACAAACTGTTGGTTAATATAACTTCATTATGGAAAATGTGTCTTTTTGTTTTCTCTTGCTAACCTAGATTAGCACCTTGTGGTTCATGCCAAGTAAGAAGTAATGAATAGGCTTGCAGACAAGCCACTACTGAATTAACACTGTCTTTTCCAGTTTGCTTATCCTTCCAGTCAGCTTAATGTACCTTAATGACTTGTCTCCTTCCAGTTTTACTGAGAGTTTCATCTTAAAGTCAGTATTTTTGCTCATGTAATATGGGTACCCTCTGCCAGAATGACAATACTCCCTGTCCTTCCTTGCCTCTCTACACATTTATATTAGAAAAAAACCTTTAACTTTGCCTGATAGTAACTTAATGCTCTTTTTTTTTTTTTACAATGGTTTTACCACTTTTTTTCTTCTTTTTGTATGAAGGAAAACTTTTTTAACAGTTCATTTGGCCTGGAAGAAAAAAAAAAATCCCACCAATCCACTTTGCTGGGCTATAAAACCAGCTGGCTCCCCCATGAATTTGAGAATGGTATTGGACAAGCTGTGATCTGATCATTGCTGCACAGTGAGGACAGTAAAGAGCGTTGGGAAATTCTTCCTGGTTCCTGAGTGATGGGGGATTTGCTTTAAATGTAATGGTACCAGAATAGATTGTTACTGAACAATATGAGATCTCACGGGTGAAGATGTGATTATCGACCCCCAGCTGCCCTTCTGCACTGCACTCATCTGAATCTCTGTGTGGGGACAACACACTAAGATGCATGCACGCAGCTGTTTCTTAAAGTTTGAGAAAATATACACCTGAAAATGCTCAATTAATTTTCTGTGTGAGACACATTGAACAAGTGCTATGTGATTTTACAGTGATAAACCTGGTATTTGGGATGATCCTGTAAATGTTGATATAAAATTTTTATTAAATCTCTTCTATATTGTAATTAAAGGAAAGATGAAGTGCTTTGCTGTAATAATTTTACAGTCTTTCTGGGTGTATTCAGCTACCTACTGAAAAGAAAAACTAATTTGGACTCCTTTGCTGAAGATGGCTAAGATTTTTGTTTCATACAATTATAAATTGTAAATTGGGATCGACACAAAACTACAATAACTTCATCTGAGTTTCAGATACTCTTGAAAGATGTGAAAATCTTGAAAACAGTCATGGATCTGCTGCTCTGCAATGCAAGTAGCTTTTTTAAAAAGCATACATATTCTCTCTTGATATTTATAGGGAGGAATGCTGGCAAATAAAAAATTCAGTACGAAAATCATCAAAGAAAAGAAAAAAGAACTGGTATGCTGACAGAGTAATTCAATGTATAAACCCTACTGTGTTATGCAAAACCAGTCCAATGTTATATTTAATTTAAGATCTCTGTCCAGCTTGTGTAGGACTAAAAAAACTTTGATAGGATTGTCAAAACAGCCTTTTTTTTTTTGGTATGGGATGCCTGTTTTAACTCAGCATGATAACACCGGGAAATCAAATATTGATGTTTTTTAAAAAAGTCCATTGCCATTTTATAAGATCAGTGTTGACTCAAACACCCCAAAAATCTCTTGATTTTGAAAGATTTTTCTTTTAATTTTTACAGCACAAAATATAAGTATGAGAGCAAGGAATTTGTGATAGAATTAAGACAGAATTAAATTCAGATATAAAAAAATTATTTGGCTTAGATTTGGGCATGAGCTCTAGAGATACACTTTATGCTAAAGAGTGAACACTAATATGAAAGTACACATAAAACACAGTAAAACATAAACAAAAACTGTCTGAAGAAAAAAAAAATACCTTTCCTTGCTCAAAATGCAAATCTATCATAAGAAGATTTGGCATAAGCATTCTACAACCCCACAAAGATCATACACAACAAAATGGTGACTGGGCAGTCATGACTGTCCATCATCTTGAGAAATGATTAAAAAAAGAAGAATAGCTAAAACATAAAATGAAGGACAACTAGTTTACAGAAAACAAAGGCTGAAGAATACTTGCCAGAGGAATCCGCTCGAAAACCAGTCCTGGGCAGCACTTGTTCTGAATAGGAAAATGGGGAATTAAAGGTGAAATACATTTCTCAAGTTATTTAAAGATGCAGCATCAATTTTTCTGCTATGTTTTGAATTATTAAAATGCATTTTCTATTTTTTCTTGAAATTTTGTTTTCTCCTCCCCTCCTTCTTTACTTTCCATGTGGTACATGTACATATTCCTGCTAGATTGAGACCTCCCTGGCCATTTCTATGCAAAGGGAAAAATGTGGTAATGTTTCTCTAACATAATGTATGTTCTGATGAAGATAAAATTTTTAGTTTGTTTAAAACTGTGAAAAATAGTGACAATATTTGTGCTTATTCAATTACAGCAATAAAAGGGGAAGTTCAATGGTGTGTTTGGATGACTTGAACTCAGATGGCTTGACCCCTGCTTTTATACAACTCCATTGCAAAGTCTCTTTTATCATCAAGATGAGGAAGATTTTTCCAGAAAGATGTATGTTGCCAATAAGAACAACTGATTGAAGATGAAGGTAAGTGAATGTAAATCCCTTTAACATACTTTACATGCAGGTAGTTTCAAAGTATTTGTATTTCACTATATGAAGTGCAGCAATTAACTGTCTTGTTCTCATATAAAACTACTTTGCTTGCATTAGAGGAATCTGGATGAGTCCATAGCTGAATTCAGTCATGGTTCTTTTGCTAATTTTGAAATAATCTCAACAAGAATTTCTGTTTTATTATTTTGGCAGCACCCGGAGTGAATTGCAAAACATTCCAAGCCAAAGGGGATTTCTACTGGCCTATACACAACAAAAGGGCAAATCAGGTATCCCCTTTATGTGACTCTAAACATGAATATCATGCCATGCATGTTTCATACTCTAAAGGAGGTAAGGTCTTTCACAACAGCATTTGTAGAACAGTGATCCAACCTACGAGTATTTACCATCTTCCTAAGACAGAAGGGCGTGGTAAAAGACATAATACAGCATTGCTTCTGTGGGAAGCTTTGAAAGAGTTTTGACTAAAGCCACCTGCCTTCTGGTGGACTGCCTCCTAAAGGGAGCATAGGCTGCAATGGCAGCAGCTGAGTGAATTAGAGCTCTCTTGAGATAAAACTGAACTGGTTGTTGGAGGGCAAAGGTATTTTCCAAAAGGCGGCTCCCAAGAATGGAGATGTCTTAAAAAATTTTAATAAGGATATTTAGATAACAGCCTTGACCTGTCTAAATCCAGGTCAACTGAATGGGGACATCAGTTTGGATTTGGTGCCCCTGCTGCATTTCTGTTTACTGTCTATGTTGAGTTGTGTCATGTGGGCAATGCTGTTTGACTTTAGAGGTGGCTGCATGCCTTTACTTTGATGGTTAAAGGAGACAATTCCTTCATGCACTACAGATTTTGTACAGTGGTTTGGGAGGCATGTTATCTAGATGTAAAATATTGCACCAGCACAGCTCTTGAAAACCAAAACCTTTGAAACTGATGCTGATCCACTGCAAACTTGGAGAAATGATTTTTTTTATTCACAGGCTTTCAAGATTTTAATAAAACTCTTAAAAGAGACAAAATTATTTTAATGTAGAGAAAGAAATTTCATCTTGATAGTCTTAATAAACTTTTAGGTCTGAAGGTACACAAGCTTTTTCTCTTGGTCACTCAGCTAGAATTGCTCTTTGGAGCTGCTGTAAGATTGGTTCATTCTGTTTCCCTTTCTACTTGCAGTCACTCTAATATCACCCAGAACTGGCCTCAAGCAGCAAAGTGAAGGAATCACGACCATTCTCAAACTGTGACCGATTAGGGAACAACTTGCTGTGTTGAGACAGACAGTCACATATTTTAAGTAAGTTAGCAGTGTCCTTTTTTGGGAACTTATTTGTGGTCGAGCCAAAGTGCCTGTCAATGAGGTGGTTTCCTTCCAAGCTAACCTCATGAAGTCGGATATGGCTTTTGTTCCTTTGCCTTGCAGAACTTCATGTAGATTATCACAGTGCTAATCATCTTGTAATCAACCATTCAGCACCTAGCATGTGTTTCCACTGTAGTTTAGGAATTCACACACATGAAAATGGGAACTGTGCTATGCTGAAGATGCTGAGCCAAGCCCTAAAGTTTTTAAATGTCTGATCACCAGAAAGATAAACCTAGGTGCAGATTTGTGGTTTTGGTAACCCTAGCAAAGCAATATTCATATTAAGAAGAATCTGCTGTCAGCAGTATGGATCTCTGTGCAGTACATGTAATTGTGATAATGTCACTGACACTTTGGAAAGCAAATATATTCTCTAAATAGCTGTGCTCATGAGACAAGCAAACTGTTAGCAAATACTAGAAAACTTCAAAGAACCTTTAACAGAGGAGAAGAGACTGAATTAGCACTGTCTCCATCTGTCAAATGCAGGCATAAGTAGTTTTTTTCAAAACTCACCTAATTCTGTTCTCAGAGACCCTACAGAAAAGCAACTTCCAACAGAGGAGGAAGGACTTTTTAATAAAAAGGACCAGCTGGGCCTGGTCCTCAGCTGAGCAGAATGCATGTCATTTGTGCACATCCTGGTGCCTTCTATCTGTAAAGGATAAATTGAGCTGGTACTTTTACCAGAACACTGTGAGACTCTAGTGATCTTTGTTTTATAGAAATCTGTTAATTAGGTTTATAGGAAACTATCATTACACAAGGCAATTTGCAACTTTCCATTTTAATATGTTAGATATCCTGCCTCCACCTCATAGGAAATGAGGTAGAAGAATGAAATTTTGGAGAGGTCAGGACAAAGAGACAAGTCTACCCAACACTGGCACCAGGAAGAGGCATTCATAATGCTGAAAGTTTTAAAATGATGACATAAGATTTCTGTATTCTCCCTATGATGCCTTTTTGGTTGAACTTCTGCAGCTGCATTGCCATGAGTATTTGTAGTCTTTCATGTGAAATAGGAATGAAGTGCTTACAAAGTAGCGCTTAAAGGTATTATAAAATACTTGTTAAATTCACTGATTTAATTATTAGTTCAGCTAACCTGTCCTAGAAACAAGAATCAGGAAAGTAAAACTAAGAAATCTTCTGAACTGCTGTTTGTATATATTAAAATAAATCTCTACCATGGTGATGACTCCCTGTTCTCTGGAGAATGGGGATGCAGTTGTGCATTTTGAGAAGTCTTGCCATACATCAAGATTTGAGGGTTGAAAATAGATTCCTTCCAACCCAAACCATTCTATGGCAATCATTCTATGATTCTATGCATACCAGATGAATGCAAAGTCAAGATTAACTTTGCTATTAGAAGATAGAACAGTAAAAATCTTGCATACCTGCCTTCTTGTTTAGCCTAAAATAAATTACCCTAATAGATTTATTTCATTTTCACTCATTCATTTTAAACTGAAAACTGTAAAATATTTGTGAAAACAGGCAAGCAATAAACAAGACCTGGGACATAATCCTGATTTATATGAAATCAATGGTGAAAATAGCAGGATTCTTTGCTGCCAAGATACAGCCACAGGAGCCAAATTCACCCACAGCATGACACATGGGTATTTTTATTTACACCAATGGAGCCATTGGTATTCTCTGGAAAAAGAATTATGCTGATATTTGATAATATTTTTTTCTATATTCTGCTGTTTTCTGGATCAGTCTTTGTTGAATGCTAAATACATGGAACAAAACTAGCACAAGGCAACATTTCAGCATCTCAGTACTAGCCATGCTTCAAGTAAATAGGAGTTTCACAAGTGAAAATGAGTGTGATTATGCTGCAATGTCCTTTCCAAAGCTGTACCAGCAGCAGTTTGCCACAGCTCATAGGCAATGCAGCACACACTTGTGTCATGCACCTGTGGCCCACTCCCCTATGCCTACAAGTCAGTTCTCTTAAATTTTTACTTTGACTCCTAAGTACTTTGCAGATCAAAATCTATTTGTATACCTTTTTGTAAAGTGTAAATTGTTAAAGAGAAAGAAATACTGCATCTTCAACACCGCCATCAGCTGTAAAACTGGCACTTCATATTAGCAGAAGTCATTAGGGACCTACTTCGCAATCCAGCAATCAAAATAATTTTACATCCATGGTACTCTGATGATTATACACTCATAATTCCATTTGAAAGTGCTTTTGGTTTCACTGTCAGTTCATATAAGCAACAAATCCATTTTGTCATGGTGAGTAATTCTTGCTGCAGTAATGAACAATACAAAACCATTTGCCATTAGTCTGCTAAATTTCCTCTCCTTTTATTGTATATCATCTTTTATTAAAAAGGGTTATATTAATTTAATAATATAAGTTCTTAGACCATCTCCAAGCTGTTGCTTAGGGTAGCAATAGATGCAAGGAAAACACCAACATAGACTGTTTGGAAATTGCTTTGAGAAATTCTCTTCCTATTGACATAAAGGGCACTAACTGGTGAACAGAAATATTGAAGGATATGGAAAACTGAGTGCATGGAAGACTTGAAAATAGAACCTGATTTTTTAGTTTACAGTCCCAAACCCTTCGCCTATACAAAACCCCCTTTATATAATACTTCAGAATATAATGTATTTAGTGCTATCATACTTCTGCATATATATGCAACTGTGCACAGATGTGTATGCACAGATATGTTAAAGCACAGTAACTAAAATGTGGTTTATTTTTAAACTAAAAATGAGCAAAAATAGGAAAAAATGTTTGAGGCAAATTTTCTTTTGTCAGGAAAACACTATCTGAAAAAAAGTGGGAGTACTAATTATGTGAGAAATTTCCTTCAATTTTTAATATTTTCAATCTTTAATTTTTAACTGTAGCTCTTTAGCCAACAAGCACTGGCAGGGAAATTCTGCTTAGCTGTAGACTATGCCATAAAACCCCTCAGGTGGTCATGCATCCAGTGCTAGACATAATATTTTTTTTTTATATTCCATGAGTATCGAATTTAGGAAACTCTGATTGCCTTAGTATTTTTCTGCAAGACTGGTATTTTTGTGGTTACACATTATGGATGAGTATAATGCTGTCTGACAAATCTTTCCTACTT